TTGATTCTTCCTTTATGCATGTTTGTTGTTTTGAGTCTTGCGGGGATAGTTGGTTTGGTTTTGAGAAGGCTTTGGAATGAACTGGAACACTTAGTTCTATCGTTGGAAGCTTAAGTTATAAGATTTGACCAAGTTTTGAATTTTGTGTAAACGACTCTGAATCGGTGTTATAATGGATGTTCGTATGGTGATTTTGGACTTAGGCATATGTATGGATTTAGATTTGAAGGTTTCTAGGTTGTTTTGGCTCTAACTGTCAAAAGTTAAAAATTTGAAGGTTTGGAAAGTTCTTATTTTTTACCATGGATTGACTTTAAATCTATCGGGTTCGGATTGTTGTTTCAGGACTTGGGATAGGTATTCATTTGGGACTTGTGTGCATTGCTTGGGTTCATTCCGGACTGGTTAGGCTAAAATTGGATGTTTGGTTGTGAATGTTGAAGTTCTTGAACTTGAAGGAATACATTATGTATTTTTGTATTTGAATTTTTAATTATGGATATTATTTAGATGTTTTGAGCTTATGAGCAAGTTCATATATAGTTTATATACCTGTTGGTGTGATTGGACGAGGTCCCGGATGGCTCGAGTGAGTTTCAACCGCCCGGAGCATTTTGAAAGTTGAAGATTTTTGCTGGTGTCAGGTCCTTCTTCACGATTATGGAGGTTGGATCCCGATCGCTGAGTGCATTTGAGGTGGGCAGGAATTTTTTTCTTTGCATTCGCAACACAGGGTTCGCGTTCATGATAGGTGAGGCAGCTTAGCTTTTGCGTTCATGACCGGGGCATCGCCTTTGTGCTGCAGTGAGGTAGGTCGGGGATGGTTAGGTGCTTGGCCTTCGCATTCTTGGGAAGGGGACCACATTCGAGTAGGCCAGTGGAGTTTGTGTATCACAATCTTGGGCTGGGGGGCGCATTTGCAAAGGGTTAAGTGGAGGTTATGGATTTTGTGCTTCGCGAATGCGAGGTTGTTACCGCGTTCGCGAAGGATATCACGGGGTATACTTATAAGTGATGTAATTTTGGGACAAAGACCCATTATTTCATATTTCGAACCCAAGACTTGGATAGGGGCAACGTTTGAAGAGGATTTTTATGCAAGTCAAGAGGGTAAGTGATTATACTTGATTTTGATGTTTATCTTATTTCACCCTGGATTATTACACATAGATTATGGGATTTGAAAGAGAAATTGGGGGATTTTAACTTTGATTTTGGATAGTGAAAAATGTAGTTTGAACCCCAATTCAGAGATTTGGATGAAACTTAAATATTTTGACTCGTATTCGAATGTGTAGTTATGATTTGTGACTTTTGTCGGATTTTGAGAAGCGGGCCCAGGTAAAGGTTTTTGTTGACTTTGTACTATTTTATAAAGATTGAAGCTTTATTGTTTGGAATTGATTCCAATAGCCTTGTTTGACGTTATTGAGTTGTTTTCTTGCTAGATTTGACCAGCTCAAAGGCCGATTTGAGAGGCAATAGCTTTTTTGAATATTGATTCCCGCGCTTTGAGGTAAGTATCTTGCCTAGGCTTGTCTTGAGGGTATTTTCCCCATAGACTATGATGCTTGCTATATGTTAGGGGTGACGCAGGTACGTGGTGACGAGCGTATATACGCACACCATAGTTATTCATGATCCGAGTAGACTTTAGGCTATTATGTACCTTGTTTTTCTATCAGGCCTCCTTGTGACCGTGTTTTCTCTACCTGTATGACTACTTGAGGTATTATTCATGTTAAAAAGCATGCCTATGCTATGTGCTTATCCGTTTGAGACATGATAGGGCTATTTTTCTACGTTGAGTTGTTTGCCTTTATTGTAGTCTTATTTTTCAGTCATGATATTATAGTTGTATGTTATATTACCCTTTTTCTATACTTCTAACATGTTATTAGTGTCCTTACTTGTGTGACACTTGTTTGAGTATATTTGTGGCACATTGTATAATTTGTGCAATATATTTATTTCAATTACTATGAGATGTTAGCATATTGAGATTTGAGCGAATTAATGGCTGGACTAGGGCCATAGAGCCGTGTTGATATTAATATTAAGGTGACGCATACGCCAGGCCCCATATTTGGCTTAGTGGTATTGATATTGAGGTAAATCTTACGCTAGGCCATTTGGGCTGAGTTATGATGATTATTGACTTTTGATCCAATCAGCACTTGGGCTAGGATCCTCCCCTCTGGAGTCAGGTGATAACCTATGTTACTTTGGGCCTTGTGAGTGCAGATGCTGGGTATGTGCTTAATGAGGGGCTTTATGCCAGGCACCCGTACAGTGATGAGAGTGTGCTTACTTGATGATTTAACTGTGAAGTCATTGATTTTGGCATGCAGGCATAGAGTCATATCTTCGTCATGCTAATTGTTACTTTATATATTGAAATTGATGCTTTACCTAATTTGTTTGGAAAGCATGTCTATTTTCCAATTAATGTTATTAAGTTGAACTTTCTATTCTTAAGATGCTTTTTCATTTTTGCTATTATAATTATGTTGTTACTGTCATTGTTAGCTGTTAAAAATGAGTAGTGGACTTTGCCAACCTTATCGCTATGTCCAATCTAAGGTTAGACTTGCTACTTACAAAGTACATGGGGTCGGTTGTATTGATGCTGCACTATGCACTTTATATGCAGATCTAGGTACTACTAATAGAGTTGATTGCTAGAAAAAGGTATCAGTTCATGTTGGAGATTGCAAGGTAGCTTTGTTGTTCCATTCGCAGGCCTTGTCCCTTTCCTTACTTTTGTTATTACCATTTATGTTCTTTAGATAGTATTTTATCGTTATTCAGACCATCGTACTTACTTATTCTATAAAGCTCATATACTCGTTGACACCAGGGTTTGGGTTGGTATTTTAGTTATATCACTATTCTGACTTCCTTCATGTATTGCTATTCCGTTATTTAGACTTTCATTATTGTTATTAAGGTTTACTTCTGAATATTGAATGTTAGCTTGCCTAGTAAGTGATGTTATGCGCCATTACGGCTTCGATGGGATTTTGGGTCTTGACAAATTGGTATCATAGAACCAGGTTGCTTTGGTTTCATAAGTCATGAGAAAGTCTAGTAGAGACTTGCGTATCGATACAGAGATGTCTGAATGATTACTTTCTATTCTCTCACATATAGTGAGGACACGTTCATCGGGTTCAGCTAAGCATGCACCGCTATCCCAAGCCAGGGCCATGAGAGACGTGGCCCGAGGTAGAGGTAGCGGTGGAGCATGCACCGTAGCTAGAGCCACTGCTTGTGCAGCTACTGTGGAGCCACCACTAGCTTATGTCGAAGAGAAATTTCATGATTATGTTGAGCTGGAGGTACCAGCTCAAGTTCCCCATGGTTTATTCGTTTCGCCAGTTGTTCAGGAATCTTGGTTCATATGGTTGTTCAAGAGTTTGGCTCTGGCTAAAGAATTTCCTATTGTACGAGCTACTTCCCATGCAGGCGGAGGAGCGCAGACTCCAGCTACTTGTACCCCAGAGCAGGTGGCCCATGGTTATCAGACTCCCTCATTATTACTGGTTGGGGGAGTTCAGCCTACTGTTGCCACATAGCCTGAGGAGAGGCCCGCGATGTCAGCTGATGAGCTAAAGAGACTGGATAAGTTCACGAAGTCGCATCCTCCTCACTTCAGTGGTACACCTTCAGAGGATGCCCACGGGTTTTTGGATCATTGTCATGATATTCTACGCAATTTAGGACAGATCGAGTCCAATGTAGTTGATTTCATGGCCTTCTAGATGCAGGGTCAAGCCAAAAGGTAGTGGTAGGTTTATGCATTGGGCATACCAGCAGGATCACCTCCTATAACCTGGGCTCAATTCTCCAGGGTCTTTTTGGAGAATTTCGTGCCCCACACTAGGAGGGAGGAGCTAAGGAGGCGAGTACCTTCATCAGGGTCTGGTGTTAGTTACCGAGTATGAGATGAAGTTCATAGAGTTGTTCTATCATACTACAGTTTTGATTCCCACTAAGGAGGAGATAGTAAAGAGATTCATTGATGGTATTCACCATGGTATTCACATTGTCTTAATTACTTGATCAAGGAACAGTGCTTTCGAACATTACTTACAAGAATCTCTCCTTCTGTCTCACCTTCTGAAGGGGTAGTAAGAAGGGGGGTTCAATGCGATTCTCATTCATGCCGGTTCAGGAGCTTAGGCCTAAAGGCTCATAAAGGGTTGACTAAGGAGAATGATCATAGGGTGACAATTAAAAGCTCAAACAGTCCAAGGAAAGCCTAAAATTATGTTCCAAACCAAGCATACTCAAAATTACTCTTTGAAGCACATTCGGGGCAAGTTCTTGACTATCCCACTCAAACACTTGGACTTGAAACAAAATTATTCCTCACCTCTCATGCAAATAGACCGTGAAAGAAGATAGAGTCTAAAAGACATAATAGCCTCAATCATGTTACAAGATCTCTATAGTCTACTCAACCACCTAATGATTCAAAAAGGTACCACAAGAGCCTCAAAGTCACTTTACTAGAATTGCTACCTCAAAAATGATTAACACACTTGTCTCAACTCATAAGCATGTAGTTAAGCGTGTTGGTACCACATGAGGCAAAAATAACATGTTTTCATGGAAGAGCTCAATTAGGACTCATTATGGATAGACTGACCAAGTCTTTACATTTCATTCTGGTCATGACTTCCTACACTTCAGAGTTGTTGGCCAAGATCTACATCAGGGAGATTGTCCGCTTACATGGTGTGCCTATTTTTCTCATCTCAGATCGCGGCGCTCAGTTTACTTCATGTTTCTGGAGAGCAGTTCAGTGTCAGTTGGGCACGTGGGTTGAGTTGAGCACCGCATTTCACCCTCAGTCAAATAGGAAATTCGAGCGGACCATTCAGATTTTGGAGGAGATGTTGAGAGCTTGTGTCATAGATTTCGAAGTCTAATGTGATTAGTTTCTTCCTTTAGAAGAGTTTGCATACAATAATAGCTATCAGTCGAGGATCCATATGGCTCTGTATTATTCATTATATGGAAGACGATGTCGTTCTTTGGTTGGTTGGTTTGAGCCTAGGGAAGCTAGATTATTAAGCACAACTATGGTTCGTGATGCTCCAGAGAATGTGAAGTTAATTCAGGAGAGTCTTCATATGGTGGAGTCCAGGCAGAAGAGTTACGCTGATAGGAAGGATCGTGATGTGGCATTCATGGTGAGTGAGAAGGTTATACTTAGATATTTTTCTATGAAGGGTGTGTTGAGGTTTGGGAAGAAGGACAAGTTGATCCCTCGGTATCTTGATCCATTCAAGGTGTTGTTGAGAGTTGGTGAGGTGGCCTACAGACATGCTTTGCCACCCATCTTGTTGGGAGTTCATTCAGTGTTTCATGTTTTCATCATTCGGAAGTATTATGAGGATCAGTCACACGTGTTAGATTTTAGTTCAGTGCAGTTGGATGAGAATCTTGCTCATAAAGAAGAGTCGATGGCCATTTTTAATAGGCAGGTTCAAAAGCTAAGGTCTAAATTAGTTCGAGGACGACATTTATTTAAGAGGGGGAATGTAATGACTTGGCCGGTTGTTTTATGTATTTTAGCTTTGTTCCCATATGTGATTCTTACTGTATGCTTGTTTGTTATTTTGAGACTTGTGGGATAGCTGGTTTGGTTTCATGAAGGCTTTGGAATGAATTGGAACACTTAGATCCACGGTTGGAAGCTTTAGTTATAAGAGTTGATCATGGTTAGCATTTTGTGTAAATGATCTCGGATCGGTGTTTTAATGGTTCCAATAGGTTTGTATGGTAATTTTGTAATAAGGTGTATGTCCAGATTCGGATTTGGAGGTTCTTAGGATATACGTTTTGGCTCTAATTGTCAAAAGTTGGAAATTTGAAAGTTTGGAAAGTTCTTAAGATTTACCGTGGGTTGAATTTGAGGCTATCAGGTTTGGATTGTTGTTCTGGGACTTGGTATAGGTCCGTTTAGCTGTTTGGAACTTTTTTGCAAAGTTTGGGTTCATTCCATATTGGTTAGGCTTGAATCAGATGCTTTGTTGTGAATGTTGAAGTTCTAGAACTTTAAGAAATGTATTATGTGTTTTGGTGTTCGATTTCTTGTTATGGGTGTTATTTAGATGATTTGAGATAATGAGCGAGCTCTTATATGGTTTAAATACTTATTGGTGTGCTTGGAAGGGATCCCGGGTGGCTCAAGTGATTTTTAGACCGCCCGGATCGTTTTGAAAGTTGCAGACTTTGCTGGTGTAAGGTCCTTCTTCACAATCGTGGAGGTTGGATCGCGATCGAGGAGTGCATTTGAGCGGGGCCGGATCTTTCTTTTTCGCATTCGCGATGCAAGGGTCATGTTCGTGATAGGTGAGGTAGTTTGGCTTTCACGTTCATGACCAGGGCATCTCATTTGCGCTGCAGTGAGGCAGGTCGGGGATGATCAAGTGCTTGGCCTTCACATTCGTGGAAAGGGGACCGCATTCGCGTAAGCTTGTGGAGTTTGTGTATCGTGATCATGGGCTGGGGGCGCATTTTCAAAGGGTTAACTGGAGGTTGTGGATTTTTGTGCTTCGCGAAAGCGAGGCAGTGGCCGCATTCGTGAATGTACTGGGTAGACTTATAAGTGATGTAATTTCTAGACTTAGACCCATTATTTCATATTTTGAACTTTAAACTTGGAGAGGAGCGTTGTTTGAAGAAGATTTTCACACAAAGTAAGGTGTAAGTGTTTTCTACTTAATTTTTATGTTTTATCTTGTTTTCTCATTGATTATTACACATAGATTATGGGATTTGAAAGTGAAATTTGGAGATTTTGACTATGCTTTTGAAAAGTGAAAAATAGAGATTTGAACCCCGATTTGGAGTCGGGTTTGGATGAAACTTATATATTTGGACTTGTATTTGAATGGGTAGTCGGGATTTGTGAATTTTGTCAGGTTACGAGGAGCAAGGAAGGGTTGACTTTGTGAATTTGATAAAGATTTGTGCTTTATTGTTTGGAATCGATTCCTATAGCCTTGTTTGAAGTTATTGAGTTATTTTTGGCTAGATTTGACACGTTCAGAGGCCGATTCAGGAGGCAGGCCTTTTTGGACAATTGAATCTCGCACTTTGAGGTAAGAATCTTGCCTAGGCTTGGCTTGAGGGCATTTTCCCTATAGACTAAAATTCTTGCTATATGTTGGGGGTGACGCACGTACGTGGTGTCGATCGTATATGCGCACACCGTTGTTATTCTTGATCCAGGTAGACTTTAGGCTATTATGTATCTTGTTTTGCTATCATGCCTCCTTGTTACCCTATTTTTTCTACTTGTATGACTAATTGACCAATTATTCGCATTAGAAATCATGTCTAGGCTATGTGCTTATCTGTTTGAGACCCGATAGGGCTATTTTGCTATGTTGAGTTGTTTGCCTTGATTGTAGTCATATTTTTCAATAATAATATTATATTTGTGTATTATATTACCATTTATGTATACTTCTTACATGTTGTTAGTGTCCATACTTGTGTGACACGGGTTTGAGTGGATTTGTGGCTCATTGGTATAATTTATGTGGTATATTGATTTCTATTACTTTGAGATGTTGGCATTTTGACATTTGAGCGGATTAATGACCTAACTAGGGCCATAGAACCGTGTTGCTATTAATAGTTTCACGACCCAAAATCCACTAAAGGTCGTGATGGCGCCTAACATCGCCGTCAGGCCAGCCAACGATGATTGATCAACTTAATTACCCATTTTTTTATTTTGAAATCATAATTTTTATTGATTAAATAGTATGAAATAGAATTTACATAGATACATTAACAAACAACCCGTAGAAACCCCCAAAACTCGGTGTCACAAGTGTATGAGCATTTTTTAAGGCGTACAATAATAATACAACATATGTCTTGAATGTAATAAGACTAAATAAAATAATTAGTATAATGGAGACTCAGTGGACTCTGATGCGTAGCCTGGAATGTAGCTCGCGTGAAGTCTGCTCAACAGGTGTGCCTATGCGCCAAGGTGATCATCAATGAACCTGTCAGATCCTGCACATTTAGTACAGAAGTACAGCATGAGTACATAAATCAACGCGTACCCAGTAAGTATCTGGCCTAACCCCGGAGAAGTAGTAACGAGGGGTCGACATCAACACTTACTAAATGTCCAATAAAGCAATATAATAAAACATAAGTAGATATGAGATATACGGCAATGATGGGGTAAATCTGTAAGTTACATAATCTTTCAAATTCTTCTTTCAAGGTATAAATTTCTAAATCTTGTATTCTACCTTAACATCTCGAAAAAATTTCAAGTGTCATTATCAAATAAGTAAGGAATACCATATAAAATACCGGGCATCAGTGGAAAGCTTAGCTCGTGAATATTCGATCTACTAGCAAAATAACGCACGATTCTGCCGAGGTCATTTGGCCCGATCGAGAATAATGTGTACACTTCCATGGGTCGAGCGGCACAAACCATAGATGCATATATATACTGCCGAGGTGTTCGGCCTACTCCATAAGAAAAGGAAGGAAGTTAACGAATAACGAGACACGTGTTTACAATATAGCACATGAGCATAAAATGAATATAATCCTTACCATTTCTTAAATAACTCACCCAAAACTCAAAGTGTTAAGGCTTGGCCTAGTGTGCATATATTTATTTCTAAATTGATTTCAGTTATAAATTCAATTAATTAAGCCAGCAGAGTGAGTTCAAGTAATTCGAATATTACATGATAAGATCCTAAGTCTACCCCGACATAAACACGCTTTAGCTATNTTATTTTCTGAATTGAATAAGGATTGGCTTAATAATTCTCTAATGTCGGCTTGCCTAGCAAGTGAAATATTAGGTGCCATCACGGTCGCGACGGTGGGAATTCCGGGTCGTGACAGTTATTGACACTTCTTGATATAAGGTGGCTCTGCCACCGGAAAGATGTATTAAATTTATCTTTTACATAACACTAAATTTTTCAGTAATGGGAAGAAGACGGAAACGACTTTTCTAGTTTTGTTTTGCATTCGTTCCGTTATGAATAAATATCACCTAGGGGTAGATTCCCCCTCACAAGGTTAGACAGGAGACTTACCTTTCTCCGAAGTTCCATAACCTACTCCAAAGACTCTCTAACACCTCAAATTGATGTCCGTCGATCCAAAACTAGTCAAACAAGGTGCAACCCACTCAAAATATACCCTAATACCCATAATTAATCAATTTAAATAATTTCCAGCTCCGCTCGAAAAATTGATAAAGTCAATCCTCGGGCCCACGTGCCCGGATTCCGAAAATTATCGGAGATAAACCTTACCCATAACATTACTAACTCAAATATATAATTGATTCTTAATTCCATTTCCAAAACCGTGGTCAAAATCCAAATTATCAATTCTAGGTCTTTTACAAAAATCCCACAATTGTCCTAAATTTTCCTCCTTAAATCCACATATAAACCTTACATTTTCGCTTCTGCGGTGGCCAAACGCGCATCGCAGACCAGCCGCTTCTGCGTCTTCATTTCCCGCTTATGCGATTACACAGGTGCGGGAATTTCTTCGCACCTGCGACCACTGCCTTGACCCTTCCCATTTTTCTTATACGAGCTCGACCTCTCTTCTGCGACCAAGACATCGCAGAAGCGATCACACCAGCTGTTGTCAAGCTTCAGCATTTCTTAAGTCCAAAAATCAATCTGTTAAACATCCGTAATTCACCCGGGGCCCTCGGACCTTAACCAAATATACCAACACGTCCCAAAATACAATACGAACTTAGTCGAGCCTTCAAATCACCTCAAATAATGCTAAAACCACGAATCGCACCCCAATTCAAGCTTAATAAACTTTAGAACTTCAAACTTCTACATTTGACGCCAAAACCTATCAAATCAAGTCCGATTAACCTCAAATTTTGCACACTAGTCATAATTGACATTACGGACCTACTCCCACTTCCGGAATCGGAATCCGACCCCGATATCAAAAAGTCCACTCCCGGGAAAACTTCCCAAAATCATCCAATTTCCAATTTTCGCCAATTGATGACGAAATGACCTACGGACCTCCAAATCGAGTTTCAGACATGCTCCTAAGACCAAAATCATCATACAAACCTGTTGGAACCTTCAAATTTCTATTCTGAAGTTGTTTACTTAAAAAACAACCTCAGTCAATTCTTCCAACTTAAAGCTTCTGAAATTAGA